ATCGAGATGAAGATGAGGATCGAGATGAGGATGGAGTTGGAGTTGGAGATCGAGATGAAGATGAAGATGAAGATCGAGATGAAGATGAAGATGGAGATGAAGATGAAGATGAAGATCGAGATGAAGATGAAGATGAAGATCGAGATGAAGATGAAGATGGAGATGGAGATGAAGATGAAGATCAAGATGAAGATGAGGATGCAGACGGAGATGAAGATGGAGATGAAGATGAAGATGGAGATGGAGATGGAAATGAAGATGGAAATGAAGATGGAGATGAAGATGGAGATGGAGATGGAGATGAAGATGAAGATGGAGATGGAGATGGAAATGAGGATGGAGATGGAGGTGAAGGAGAAAACGGAGCAATGTCAGGAAAAGGATTACAATTACAACTTTCAGGAAAAGGATTACAATTACAACTTTCAGAGGAGGAGGAACAAATGGGCAAGGACGAGAACAGGGACAAGGACGGGGACGAGGACGTGGTAGAACAAGGATTGGGAGGCGGCGATGATACCATGAGGACAACCGAATGCACAGGAAAGGAAGAACAAAAGCATCTTTTCACCTCAAGCTTCTGTTGGAGTCTCTAGGAGGAATCCGATAGACACTGAGCAAGGAGAACTCAGGGGGTTTGATCAAATATTATCTTCCTCTACCTCCCTTCTCATCTGCCTTCAGCCCCCCATCCTTACAGACTCCCTGCCTGGATCCCTTCAACTGACCTGCATTCCCTTTCTGATTCAAACCTCCGCCCCTCTTCCTTCATCGCTCTCTCCCTCGCTTCTCCTCTTCCCTTGCCTGGACGCATCCTCCTTTCTTCTCTTTCATCCCTCTCCTCTCAACCTCAATGCCCTCGCTCCTATTCCGACTACACATCCTCTCCCTCATACCCAACCATGGGCTCCCCTCTCTACTTCAACGCTTCTCCTCCTTCTCCTCTCTCCTCTCCCCTCCTCCCTCCTCCCTCCTCCCTCCTCCCTCCTCCCCTCTCTACCTCAACGCTTCTCCTCCTTCTCCTCTCTCCTCTCCTTATTTCTTCACCTGCCTCTCCCTCCCCTTCACTGCCCTCCCTCAGTTGGGAGAGAGCATCTTTTCATCCCTCTACTTCTTCTCTCGTCTCCCCTCCCTACCTCATCTCTTCTCTCCTGTCCTACCCTCTCCTCTTGTCTCGTGCCCTGTCCGTTTCTCCCCTCATCCCTCCTCTCCTCTCCTCTCCTCTCCTCTCCTCTCCTCTCCTCTCCTCTCCTCTCCTCTCCTCTCCTCTCCTCTCCTCTCCTCCCTTCTCCTCTTCTCTCACCTGACACTGCGATGGATGAACAGGACATGGTCCATCCTGATGCGCAAGCCTGCCTCGGCCCCCGTGTGGACTAATGCTGAGGGCCGGGCCCCGCAGCCGCGCGGCACGGTGCCCCGGGGCCCGCCGGCCATCACCGGTTGCCCGGCGGCGGCCCGGACTCCCGCCGGCCTCGGAAGTCGGAGCGGCTGTCTCTGCCACTGAGACTGCCGGGGGGGCGCCGCCGGGCGGCGCCCGCCGGGCCGGGCGGGCGAGTCGGACCGTGGGCGCGGCCGCCATAGCCGCCGCGTTGCCAAGTTGCGGCCCAGAAGTTTTTCGCGGGGCGGCGGCTCAGGCTCGGATGATGGCATACTGAGGAACTTCCGGGCCGTACCGGGCCGTGACGGCCCGGTCTGAATCATGGTCGGACCGTCATGACAGTCACTGAGTGGACGTCCGGTGGCAGGCCGGGCCGTGTCACACGGTGTCGCCGTGACACTCCGAGTCATGGCAGTGTCATCGTCGGAGGCCGCTCAGGCGTAACAGCCGCTTAGTACTGTCTCAAGGCAAGTTGCCGGCCGGGCCGGATTCGGCGTACGGTCCCGGATCATCGGATCTGATCAGGATGATCCGGCGATGATCGCGGGGATGCCAGGGCGGCAGGGCCGGGCCCCGCGGCAGCCTGCTGCACGGCGTGGCACGGTGGCGTGCCGCCGCCGTGACGGTCCGATCACGGTGGCACCGTCCACGGTGGCGTGCCGCCGCCGTGACGGTCCGATCACGGTGGCACCGTCCACGGTGGCGGGCCGCCGCTTGCCGCGCGGCAGTGCCGCTGCAGTGCCAGGAGGGCCTGGACCGTCGGACTCGCCGAGCCGACCGTACCGCCCGGCCGCGCCGTTCAACGGTTCAACGGGGGCCGTGCCAGTCAGAGTCACCGTGGCACGGACGGTGCCTGTGTACTACTAGGGTCGGGGGCCGGCCGCGCCAGGCCCAAGTCCGCCCCGGCGGGCCCGGTACCGGGCCGGCGTTGGAACTTAGCCTGCGCGACTTACAGGCCGGGCCCATCATAAGAACCGCGCCCTGTGTACTACGGTTCTAGGCTTCGGAGCCTCGCGGTCACCGGGTACGGTACACACTCGGAAGAGACATGATCTCATCATTTCACTGACAGAGTCAAGTTCAATCGGTTGATGCCATTTCTTGTAATCGTACTTCCTTCAAAGCACTTCTTATCAAAATCTTTCTATCGTAGGAAGCAGCGAAAACAAAGAAGCAGATAAAGAACATTGTTACTGGATTGATTGCTGTGCAACTCGTCTTGTCCCATCTCTTCCCATATCATTCCATCCCATCTGATTCTATATCATCCATCTCATCACATTTACACTTTATTGCATTTTATCTGATCTGATCTGATCTGATCTGATCTGATCTGATCTGATCTGATCTGATCTGATCTGATCTGATCTGAACTCATCTCATCTGATCTGATCTGATCTGATCTGATCTGATCTGATCTGAACTCATCTCATCTCGTCAAATTTCTTTTCTTGATTCATCGTTCAGTGACTGTACTGTCTCCCTTTGGGTTTTCAGTCGCTGTTGCACTCCCAGAATGTTCCTCAGTGTGAAATCAGGATATTTTGGGAGAGATGCTTGCTCCATTTTCGTTGTTTCGTTCGCTGCAAGCAACTGCCTGCGTTTGTTGCCATGAGCCAAGAACAACCTGCCTTTCCGTTTCTGAATGCAGGTGTAGAAGTGAATTGTGAGGGGATGTTGCACCCTTATGGTAAATTCTTTTTCCATCTTATCTGACTTGGATTGGCCAGCACTGTACAGATTAATGTGACACGATGCCTTCCACCAAATCTTCACAGCCGCAGAGGTATCAAACGGGCCAAGAGAGATGGATTATTGCAAAACACTTGGTTGAAGTCTGGATACTGACAAAGTAGGTAAAAAATGCGCACGGTCCTTGAAATGTCGAGGGAGGGAGGGGGGGGTGGGACGGGAGGGGACGGAGGGGACGG